TTAATTTTTTTTTTTTTTTTTGTTACTGGGGATTAAACTCAGGGCCTTGTGCTTGCCAGGAAGGCCTGGTGCTGCTGAGCTGTATCCCTAGTCCCTTTTGTGCCTTGATAGACTAATTCTGTACAGCATCATGAAGAAATGAGCATTTTGGCTTCACTTCAGGGCCTTGACTAAAAGAAATCATTTATTCAACCAAACTACAGATTAGAGAAATGACTTTATCATCTATCTTTTCCAAGACATTAAGGAAAAAGAATTCTCTTGCTACTTAATTCTGTGCGCTGTGTCTGTAGCTTGGAATATGCCGGGTAGGAAGTACAGGGCAGCTGTAATCCTCAGCTGATGGGGTGAGGCATTGAGTGGGGAACCATCCAGGGTCCTCTAAAAGCTTTTCCCTCCTGCTCCCGTGGCTACTTGGGACCAAATCAGATCATACTGGCTGCTTCAGGAATCTTCCATTTGTTCATTTTTCATTCTGAGCACTTAATTGAGCACCTGCTACATGCCAAGAAGAATCTGCTCTGTGGGAGTTCAAGCAGAGAACCAAGGTTAAGGGAAGCACCATGGGAACTGTGCCCAAAGAAAGAAAAGACTGTTCTGCCTCTTCCCTGCCCATCTCCTGGGAAACCTTAGAGAGGGGTCTAGAGAAAGCGCCAGACTCATGCTGTGAGAACCTCAGGGGTAGATGAGACAGCAGCAAGGAGAAACAGGAGATGGCGGAGCCCCCAGTGGGAAGCCTTAACCAGGCTGTGAGTACTGTGGCAAAGCTGAACAGCACAGACGCAGCAGCCTTCAGTTAGGGACAGAGTCAAGCCCAGCTAAGGCATATAAAGTGTGAGTGCCACGAGGAAAAGGGAGGAGCCCTCTGAAATGAGGCAGGTATGTGGTGTGCGGGCCTGCGCTGGGGCGACAGGGACATCGCTTACCCTGGTGTTCCCAGACCTGGATCCTGGGGAGAAAGTAAGCGTCCTAGCTGGCTTATGTTTTGAGACTGTTCACTGGCCCAGTTACTGGAGAGGAGTCTGAGGTAGTAACTCAGACCTAGCGCTCAAGTGGGCAGGAATGTATCAAGTAGGAAAGGAGTAGGAAAAGATGACTTTGGAGTAGACTTGCTCACCAAGCAAACAGAAAAGGAATCAAGTATAAGGAGAACCCTCAGGAAGTAGAAACAGAATGTGTGGGGTAAGGTCCTGGTCACAGTGCTCATTAGTCAGTTTGGCAGAGAAAGGTTTCAAGGGTTGAAGAAGTCCCCTTCCCAGTTCTTAGGAACCTTAGCCTGTGAAAAATAATGACTTCTGTGCAGTGAAGGCCTAGAAGACTTAGGAGACCCTGCTCTGGGGAGCTCTTTGAAAATGTTAATTGCTCACTAAAATCAAAGAGAAAAAACCCTGTGGTTTAATACTTGTAAAGCCCTGACCGAATACCATGCTTAGAAACATACTGTTAGATTGCTGTATTCCTGCTAGGAAGGAAAGTTGTCTTGGGAGAATGAGGGCTGCTCGATCCTGGAGAGAGTGAGCCGGAAGGTAGGGATCTAGTGAGGTGCACTGGAGGCTATTACTAGCCTTTTATCATTCAAGGGACTGCAAGGAGTTTGGGGCCAAAGACTAAAATATGGTGGAGTATTTTCATCTTGGTGTGTTATTTACTTCAAAGTATTTATCAGTGGAACCCCTAAATGAGCCCAGGCCTTATTCTTATCTTGGGAGCACCAGCAGAAATACAGGCCACCAAGGGATTTGGCCCCAAGGCAATGCCTGGAGGAGGGGCCGTGAATGGGAGTGGCTGCCTGGCCCCCTGAAGCTGGAGTTGACAGGCATTTGAAAGAGAGCAAGAAAAAGAAGCAGAAAAGCCTTGTGCAGACTTTGCCTGCAGAATGGTGCTTAAGAGCCTGTCTTGGCTGTGAGGGTGTCCTAAAGGCCCTTTGGGGGAATAAGAACGTTTTCTCCTGAACTACACTGCAGAAAAGTGCAGATGAATATATTCTAAATAGTTGTCTCATTCTGTGCAACAAATATTTGAGTTCCAGAGCCTGCTGTTGATGGTAATTAAGCTTTCCTGATTCACATGTAACCATATCATTTTTTTGAGCCTGAAGTTTTTTTTTAATAGAGAGCGTTTCCATAAAGCAGGAAGCATCTGTCTAGTATGCCATTTACTACTTGTTATACTATACAGTACACCAGAGTGTACATGAAATAGCTACTTTTGTCAGGATTATGTCATCAGAATGCTATGTTATTTACTCCATGGACTCTGCACTTACTTTAAACAGGAAGTCATACTTTGGACTACCAGCTGGGTCGTGTCTATGGATGGATTTTCTTTTGTGCACAAACAGCATACGTAGAATTGAGGAGAAGTGTGAGGTTGTAATCTTATTCCCGACTTGGGCAGCAGTTATTATTTGGGCAAGGAACACCTTTACTCTCGAGTAACAGGGAATGCAGTGGAGACTTCAGAAATGGTGTGTGGTAATGGCTGTGGGTCCTTCTGTCCCGTCACATAGAGGCTTAGGGAAGACAGCATCTGATCTCAGGTTGGGGAACAGTGCCTCTCGCTTTGTGCACACAGGTCAGGACCCTTTGAAGTGCGAGCAGACCTTGAGGAGTCCATGGAATTTGTAGATCCTGGAGTCGCTGGAGAATCCGAGGAGAGTGGAGATGAGCATGTAAGCGATGAGGAAACTGATTTGGGCACAGACTGGGAGAACCTGCCAAGCCCTCGGTTTTGTGACATCCCTTCCCAGCCTGTGGAAATCTCCCAGAGCCGGAGCACCCAGGTGTCCCCACCTATTTCGAGCAGCAGCGCAGGGGGGATGATCTCCTCTGCGGCAGCCTCAGTGACCTCGTGGTTCAAAGCTTACACTGGGCACCGTTAACGAACATGGACTGAAAACATGCCAAATCTGCATCAAGAAAGCTCTCCCTAATAAAACTTGTTTGTTAAATAGTGCTTGGGGACAAAAGGATTGTTTTCATCAGGAAGAGAAGCAGCTTTGCTTGCCAGGTGGCCTATGATTTTGACCCACGTGCTTATGGTAGTAGAACACAGGATGTGGAGAGCCTTCTGCCCACACCAGCGCTAGTTTGAGAAGGACCTGTGTGTGGCCAGTGCCATGAAGGAGGGCATGCTCTGGGCTCTTCTGGGTCCTAGGCTCCGCAGACCCAGGTCAGTGTTGTCCTGATGATGCTGACTCTTAAGTTCTGGAGGTTGCATGAGTCACGAGGAAGTGATTCTTAACGACTTGGAAAACAGTAACTTTTTCTGCCATCTTTTTTGGTAGAAAAACAGGCAATTTGAAGATTTTTTGTTTTTAGAATAAGGGATTTATGTTTGGAAGAGGGTAGTTTTCTGAGGGCAAGGAATAATTTAAACTCATTTTATTTATGCTGCTCTGTTGTAACTCATCAGGTTCCTGTGTTTCTCCCCAACCCCTCCCCCAACACCAAAGAAGCTAAGGTCTGTTTATCTGTAGGACACACACCCATGAACAGAAGAAGTCCTAGCTGCAATAATATACCAGAGATGTTTACTTTCTTGTATTCTGTAGGGGAACTAAGCTCATTCTTAGCTGGTTTATTGAATTACTACTATCCACACTATGTCCACTTTGAATGGAAGTTACTTTTTGAGTGAAAAGTCAGAAAAGCCAGGCATGGTGGTGCACACCTGTAATCCTACCACTTGGGAGGCTGAGGCAGGAGGATCATGAGTTCAAGGCCAGCCTGAATTACATAGAAAGACCCTGCTCCAAAAAAAAAAAAAAAAAAGGTCATAAAGGTCTTTCCCTTGGGTAAGCGAAATGCCTTCCTGGGCATGGGTTCAAAGCTATTTGGCTAGGTGACCTCTGATTATTTTTGCAGTGTCCCGTTTCTGGAGGGATTAAGTAGGTGGAGACATTTCTAGGAAAAGTGGTCCTGTTTGTTTGCTTCCTTGAGCTCCTCCCTGTTCCTCCGAAGGCTGTACCCTGGTCAGGAGACACAGGAGATCCTTCAGGCTGGTACTGCTCTGACCTGGGGAAAACTCATGAATAAAGAACTTCCCTCTTCAGGAGAACAGTTTCAGCTACTAATGTCTTGCCATTTTCTAAGTGACAATCTTAAAACTATAATAAAAGAGGCATTATGTGCAAATATGTATTTTTTATTTTTAATAACTACAAAAATCCTATGTAACATTTAAAAAAAAGAAATTCTAAGAAAAATTCCTAACAGGTACTGTTGGCATTGTCTTAGTGAATTAGCGTGTTAGTACCTCAGATAAATCAAGTTCGCCATGCCCTAGCTTCTTTCCCATTGTAATTATCACAGTTCATACTGTCTCCAAATCCGAGGTGCTATAGAGTAGCTTTTGCTATTGGTATATTTGGTGATTGGTGGAGTAAAAGGGAGAGTTGGGAGGAAGGAGTTTATTCCTGTCCAGGAGTTCCAGATTCCCTGGCTCTGAGTTTTCCACTAAGGGAAAACACAGGCTTTCCTCACTGTGGGTGCTTCACAGCCACTCTTTGAAGCCCTCAGTTTGGTGGTGGTTGGGCTTGCATTTTACCATCCAGTTCTGGAATCCGTAAAATAGAAATGGTGGAATGAACAGACACCAAAATGAACTCAGAAACCAGGAGTGGGAAATGAAGCTAAAGAATAGAGATCACCAACTCATGTCTAGAGTAATTCAGCAAAACAAGGATGTGGGAGATTTAGGGACTGATAAGGGTGTATTTTGTTAATATCAACTAGAGGCACTTTACATTGGGTTAAATGATCAGACCCTTTAATGGGCTGGAACACCAACATATTGGCTTACATTGCTGAAATATTTTTGGTTTCATTTTGCACTGGATCTATTCTGTAAATATTTTCAAGTAATACATTTCAACCACTGTTTTTCCTACTCTTTTTGCTGCTCATTAAAATCTTTCATTTAGGTGCCAGAATAATATTTCAACAGCTTTTAAAAAAAAATTAAAAAAGCCATAAAACTTGTCATGTTTTCCATTTTAAAATGATTCACTGAAACAAAATAGTATGAATAAAAACCCCCAACCACCAAATAGGCTGCTTTAGTCTTATGAGAGACATTTTGTAATGGGATGCAACAAAAGTTTTGCACATCTGTAAGTTAAGGGTGAAAAACTGTGTCACACTGGGGGCAGGGTTCACACATGGACTGAGGTATGGTCTGGAAAGCGTATTCAGTGTTGTCTGGTAGAGAACTGCAGCATTCCTCCTGTTGCAGGAATCTGTCTTTGTTCTGCAACTTCCAATGCAGTTTTGAGTCATACAAATATTTTCTAATTTTTATTACTGCAATAAATCTTTTAACAGTGCTTTGCTAGTTGTTTTTTTTTTTTTTTCTTTTTTTCCCCCAAACTACTGCTTCTACTGCTGCATTGAGAACAGCAAGAATGAGAGCTAGCCTTGGAGTACTTTACATAAATTATAAATATTTTAGAATTCTTTGCCAGGTAGAAAAAAAGTGTTGATATTTTTAAAATTATAAATCATGGTGGTATTAATAGTAATCATCTGTCCTCGGCAAGCTGAGAAAGCGGTTGCTTACCAGTTACATTCTCCAAAGATCATTTCTCTTTGGGAGCCACAACATGGCACACACAGCACAGCTTGGCAGCAGAGCCCTGGGCTTCTATGGTGCTTAGGTAGAATCTGGCCAAACTTTCTTCAAAACGAGAGATAAAAATTAATGTTCGTTCTCTCAGGCTGAGAGGACTAAGTAGTTCTAGAGTAACGCACCTCTCCCAGATGGACAGTACGTTTGAAGTTGGTATGGAAAGGGTGACTGCTGTGGAACAGCCAGGCCTAACAACTACTGAGGAGCTGTTGCTCTGTCACCGCCCCTTTACCTGGAGGCCAGCGATTATCGCAGTAGACATGGTAAAAGAAATCTCAGGGTATGGCTTTGGTCTCTTCAGTTACAAGCCTGCTTTTATCTGGTGTACAAAGGGAGCTTCCTTGGCCCCAGAGCTCCATCATAGCCAATGCAGGAATCCGACTGAAACAGGAAGGAAGGTAACTGGTCATGAAAGTGTCTGAGGAAACATGAAACTGGGCTCTTGGGTGAGGCATCTGCCATGCAGCCATGAAACTTGATGAGGACCCTCCCCCACCCCATCTGAGGAGTCTGGTGGGAAATTACCCTAGAAAAGGGGTTCACAATCTCTTTAGGATTACTTACCAGAGACCAGTGGGGCAGATTTTTCTCAAAAGATGGTGAAATAGTAACAAGAGCCACATCAATGACTACTGTATTTTTTGTAGGAAGGAGAGGGATATTTTGAGGGTCAGAGGGGAAGTTTGACAGCAATTTAAGAGCAGCCCCCTTTACAGTGCAGTTCCCAGGAGGTGTCTGAGGGTCCTGGGTAGGTGATGGGTGAGCACCAGCCGAGTGGAAAGTCCTCTGGGTGAGAAAGGTTCTGTGACTGTAGCATCATCTCCAATTTCGGGTCAACGCTCCTTACCCCACTCTGAGGGTGATGCTGTGGTACTTACTGTACGGCTTCAGACAACACTTGGATTTTTAGGAAAGCACTTTTCTACTCTAGGAGGATTTTTAATTTATGCACACATATATAGATACATGGGATTGAACCCAGGGCCTTCACACTAAGCTGCATGTCCACATAATAACATGCACTTCTGTTTAACATTTTCCACACAAGCTTTCTCAGATTATCTCTCATTTGCCCCAGAGGTTCATTTCCCCTTCTTCCTGCTCGGTGTCAGAGGGTAGGGGGCTACGTCAAGTAGGATCCCTGAGTTTTGATGGTCAGGATGTTTGTTCTCGGTCTCCTTCCTGCCCCCTGTGACCATCTTCTATCTAGGACCTATGAATCTTCAGCCCCCACTGCTGTTTCTGTTGCATGTAGCGATATTCTTAATCCTGCCTGCACCTTGGAATCAGGGTATGTGTATGTGTGTTTTAATAGCTCTGGGGCAAGCCCTGAACTTTGTCCTCCAGTGAGAAGCTCTCTTAAACATGAGAAGTAGGAGACAGGGACAGAGTTGGTGAGGATGTGTTGCAGAAAGTTCTGTGTTCTGGTACAGGGGACGGCTTATTCCTGTAGCTTCACCCTTAGAATAAGCCCTCCTTGAATTTGCTCATAACTTCCCATGCAGACCCTGCTTAGAGGACAGGCATTCTGGGGCATTAAGCCAAGGCTACTTACTGGCTATGGAAAAGGGAAGGTTACATGAGAGGTTTCAGATCAGAGGCTGGGACAGCCAAGCCACTATCTCTGCTTAGGAGAGTAAGGGCTGCAGTGGAAGGATCCAGAGGACCATACTGCCTGCATAGACTCAGGCTGCATGGGGAGGATGGGTGAGGAAAAGCTCTGTCCTCACCAAACTTCACTCCCATTATGCAAACAAGCCATCTTCACAGAGGATAAGGGCCAGGTACAGTTGAATACCTTTCCATTTTATTATGTGGCATCTGATTTAGATATTGCTATTTCAGGAAATTTATCAACCTCTTCCTAACAGTTCTTAGACTTCGGAGACTTCACTATTACCTCATAAATCAACTTTATCCCCCCCCACAATAGTGGAGATTGAACATTATGCTTTTGAGGCATGTGGGGTGCCACTGACCTAAATCCCTGGCTTTATTTCTTGATTTAGTCAGGGAGGGAGCTGATTTTGCTATCATTAATGCACTAATGGGGAGATGGACCCTGCATTTCCCAAGTCTAGGTGTCTGTGCATTGCTCACCACTCTGTGCGAGGTTCATCTCGCATGGCCACTGCACATTATGTCTGTCTGCTGATGGGTGGTAGACGTGAGGTTTTCAAGAGTGATTTCAGCTATATGCCATTTCCCTAAAATGCTAATTTGAGAACTTAATCCTGTTTTATCATTGCAAAAATAAAAAGTCTCATTTTCTAACAAGCCCAATTTAATTAAAAAATAATTTGAGATAGAGACCCAAAATGAATTTGCTCTGAGGTCTATTATGTACTAATTAGAGAGTGTGTGAGAGGTTTCAGGGGGTTAGGGTGGGTTTCATTTTGCTTTTTACTTGGAAGGGCATCATCTCTTAAAGATTGTTGTACTCTAAGGGACACTCCCATTTCTGATCATTCCAGTGGCTCTGAACCTCTCAAATAAAGGTCAGATCAACCACCTAGGATGAGTGTGCTGCCTCACTGGTTTTGTTTAAACCATTTAGGTGTTAAGTCACCCAGGATATGCATGGCCACAATATTTGCTCTTCTGAGTTTATGTAAATATCAGCTATAGCTACAGATTTAAGAATGGCATTCCTGTCAGTAGATTGGACTGCATGTTGCCCATAGAGGTACTGTCACCAACTCATAAGAGATTGTAAAACTAGCTTATTTGAACCCAAAGGTGAAACAGCTGAAACTATCAGATTCCATAAGTGCTTGACACTGCACGGTAAAGAACATTCTTTAAACACAACATTGTTACCTAGCCAGATAAACCGACCCTTCCTACTGGTGTGGTCTGTACACCACAGACAGTAGAGAAAGATGCAGTACAGACTGATTTTATGATGTTAGTGAAGCCAGCTGTGGATGAAGGAAGACAAACTACCAACCTGCCAAGTAAAGAAGCAACGTCAACACTTGGAGCTGTGCAGGATGCGCATAGAAAAGCTGTCCAAGGTCAGTCCACAAAGACTGGCAGGGAGGCACTGACATGTTACGGGTAGCGATTGGACAAAGCCCAGGAAGGGAGTGGCAAACCTGGGGTACATGTAGTTTTAAGACAAAAGATGTTAATGAAGGAGTAATTTATTTCTAACTAAAACCTCAGTATTAAGGTTTAATTGTAGTGTTGGCACTTAATAAGTGGGTTTTAGGTTACAGTTTGGGCATTTGTCTCCCTCTTGCCTGGCAGCTGCAAAAGGAATTTCCCAGGTGGGCATGGAGGTACATGCTTGTAATCCCAGCACTCAAGGAGGCTAAGGCAGGATAACCATGAGGTTGAGACCAGCCTGAACAAGACAAGACACAGTCTAATTAAAGGACTTCCCACGTGACCAGGTGAGGTCAGTAAAAACCATCCTTCAAGATCCCTGTCCCCAACTACAGGTTTCTTATCCTGAATTGTAGCATGGTCCGGGGCAGTCCAAGTGGCTTTTTGCCAGCACCCTTCACATCGAGATGAACACTAATAAGTAACGCAGACATTTTATGGCACGTGTGTCAAATGAAGCTCCAAGGATGGCAGGAACTATAATAGCGCTTGGGTGGAAAGGTCAATGGGCAGAGCTGCATGTGCATGGTACAAAGGGGGCAGTGGGAAGTCCACTGCACAGTGCTGGAAGAGCTGGGGCTTGCTTTCCACGAGATGCGCCCAACTCGGCTTGAAAAAGCACATTTAGGTTAAGTCTAACTTAGCCTGTAGTCCCTTTCCAAGGTACTCCTTCCTTTTGTCCTCAGTCTTACTTTTTGGTTGAGACAGAATCTTACACTATGTGACCCGGGCTGGCTTCAAACTAATGGCAGTTCTTCCTCAGCCTTCTGAGTGCAGTATTACAGGTGTAAACCACCACACCTGGCCTGTCCTTGGTCTTACCTGCTGGGCAGAGAGGAGAATGGGAGCTGACTGCTGGTTTCTCTGGTCATGGTTTTTCTTTCAAACAATCAAGTGAGTTATGAGAGAGAAAACAGTCAAGTCTACTAGCCTCTGAGCAGATGCTGAAAGGGGGAGGTTTTCTTTCTTTGGCATGAGTGGGGAGGCCATGACCTTTGTACCCCAGTATTTCTTGATGACAGGAAATAATATTTTTATCAGCTTGGCATGAGGGGTTTCCAACAGAAGTAGGAGTTACATTTACCTGGAAATAAAAACCCCAGCATTCAGGAGGTTGAGGCAGAAGGATTAGATGGGAATTCAAGTGAGACCCTGTGTGAAAACACACAACTGGAAGACGAGTGAGTGGCTGTCCTTTGGTGCCAACCATGAGAGCTTCTGTCATGCATGTAGAACCAGGTTTTGCCACAGTTCCAAACAGGTCATCAGCAATTTCTGGGGGCTCAGAGAATGCTGAGAGGCTGGACATTCTTACTCGGCCCTCTGCCCTTGGTCAGTGCAGCCACAACCACATCAGGAATGGCTCACTTGTTAGCCTGTGTTCACATAGCACATGGAGAATCATAGACACTGACAACTTTACTGGACTTTTCAGATGCCCAGCTGAGCCAAGTCCTTTATGTGTATGATCTCCTTTAATCCCAATGATATGAATCACAGATAGCGTTACTAGGCATTACTGAGATTGCCAATTTAGAGCAAACCAAAGTGAAGACCAGCACTGTTCACTTGAGTGCAGAGGCATTTTCCATATACCTCAGCTGGGGTCATAGGAAAACCACAGCTCTCTGGAAGGGAAAGTAGACTGTTCTCAGCCTCCTCTCAGTCTTGTCATAGACAAATTCCACAAGCTGGCAGGGTAGCCAAGCAGAGCGTGCCTGTCTGGGGAAGACTTACAAGTCAAGACAGACAGAGTTTTCAGCTTTTTGCTGGGATGAACCCAGGGCCTTCTACATGCTAAGCAAGTACTCTATCATTGAGCTGTAGCCCACCAAACCCCCTTTTAATTTTGAGGCAGGGTCTCACTATATTGTCCAGATTGGCCTCAACCTTGTTATCCTGCCTCAGCCTCCCAAACAGCTGAGATTATAGGTACATGCCACTTCACCCATTTAGTGCATCTTTTGAGGGAGGGAGGAGTTAGTGCTAAGGATAAAGGAAATTAAAAATGAAAAAGTCAAAATAGATTCATTCCAGTCTGGAAACCACTGCATTCCCCTCTTGGTTCGGCCACAGGTAAGTCTGGCTCCACCTCCAGCTGGTCCTGCCCTGTCCTGGTTGGTAGACCTGCCAGCTTTAATTCTTCTTCTTCAGGACCTTTCATCTTTTTCAGTTGAATATAATTGAATGGTTTCTTGGTGGCACTTGGCTTCAAGACAGTTTTAGGTCCAGGAGCTTCCTGGGGCTCATCCTTACCATGTATGACCTGACCCCAGCCACGAAGAGATCTTTAATGACTTCAAAATGATTACTGGACAACTTGTAAAGAAGATACCACTTCACCCAAGAGTAAATATGGTAGGTGGTGAGGAGAAACATTCAGATATTAAAAGGTTACAGAATATAATCTCCCATGATAGAAAAACACACTATCCTTTCATCCCCTATTTCTTTACAACTCGGTTCACAGGAACTGTTGTCAGTTAAACCCAAGAAAATAAATCTTTCTAAAACTCAGGTATCATTTAAGATGTTTTTATTGAAGTTTGAAAAAAAATTTGCAACTGGACTGAAAGGTTAAATAGACAAGACATCATAATCTGACTATAATATTCTCTTGTTGTTGGTGGGTCACTAAAATATAGTGAAGGATGGTTCTCTATGCTGACTTTAAGGTTGTCCAGTTAAGCCATTTTTGGTATCCTTTGAACAGGTTAACCTCTTACCTAGTTTTGTTTCAGAAACATTCATATATTATGCAGAAAACATTGTTTATTTGGAAACATCCTTATTTTATACAAGATGTACAGATTTCTGAGACAAACACAATTATAGCTACAATACTATCCTAGCTGCATTGTGATGTCTGTTTTGTCATGTTGTCCATCATATACAACTGGATTGATTGTGTTATATACAGAAGGGCCAAAGAACTCATCTAGAAGTAAAGGCGCTCAAGTTTAATGTGCACTTCCACAGCCCTATGAAAACACACCATTATGTACACTGTAAACACCACAGGGCATGAAATCCATCTCTACCCATCAACACCAATCTCACAGGATCAAGCATACGAGGTCTAAGGTAAGGTGCCCGACTTTTCCTTTTAGGCAAACTTTTCATCCAGGGGTCTTGCTATTCTCATAGGGTACTATTTACTTATTTAAAATATGGTGCTAGTGCTAGAACATTCTTGGAAGCCCTGTTTGGGTTCTGCCAGCAGGGCCTTTAGTGAACTTGGAATCTTTGATGGCAGCAGGTCTTCCTCCTTTGAGGCTGGAAAAAAACAAGCATGGTCACCCCTTGAATCAAGTGCGAGGGTACCCTTTAAAATCACAATACCAGCCTTGTACAGCTGGTAAATGAGAGAGCTTAAAAAATGACTGATAAATGGCAGTCCTCATGAAACAGGTGCAGGTGCTCCTACCGTGTCTGAGACCACACTCTCTTTTATCTAGGTATTCTGTGTTTCTCCTTTAGTCTTCCTCTTCAGTCTCACTCCCTCGTGCTTTCTTATGTACTGCCCGGTTAAAACTGTGGCAGGCAGGGACCCAGTGATTGTCATGAAGCCCCAGCTTACAGCCAGGAAAACCCTTCTGAGACCGGTGGCAGCACATCCAGTATCCAGGCCCATAGGGCAGTGCTTGGCAATAGGGCTTGGGGTGCCACCGGCACAGGGACACATCCCCTTTCACATATTTTTTCTTGCATTGCTTGCAGGGATCCTCTCTATAGCGTGGGTCTCGAACCCAGCGTGAATCGGCTGGCCTGATGTTGTAATATTCAATGATAAATTTGAAATAACAGCAGGTACATTTAAGAGCCACTAAACTCCTGGTGGGAAGTAACCGGAAAATTTTCACCATAATGTGGTGCGGCAAACATGCCATGTACTGCTGAGGCTCTAGGAGCTGTTGGATTTTAAACCTGGTCTCCAGAAAATCATGAGACACTTGCTTCTTCCAAGTGGATGCTTCGAGCACTGGCAGTGTGCTTTCCATTGCAGAGGCTGGCACTGTACAAGGCTCGGTCGAAAGACCTCTCTTCTCAGCGTGGTTCTTAGCAGTGCCTTCAAGCTGGCTACCCTCTGAATATCCTGGGGCTCTGCTCTCATTCAACTGGGAACAGTCCAACTGAGGCTGACCAGGTGGCAAAAAGAACAACATCCCTGGGAGCAGTTCTTCATGAGAGCTTAAGCTAGAAGACTGGTCTTTTTCTGACTTGCACACACTGACGCTAATGCACAAAGATTTGATTGTTCTCGGATCAGGCTTTTGATTAGTGAGTGGCACAGGCTCTGTACTCATACAAACAATAGCATCTGGGGACAATGCAGTGGCTCGGGGACAAGTGTGAGAAGAAAAAGGTAATCTATCAAGCTCATCTAACATTTCCACATCATGCCTGTTTCTCATTTTTGTGGTAGTTTGCTGACCTAGCTCCACTGCTACTCTGCCTGTGCAAAAATTTACACTTGGTTGCAATGAGGGATAATCCTGAGGGACACCGTCCCAGGCCCAGTCCTCTGTAGGAGAACAATGGTCAATTCTTGCAGGGCCACAGTCCACAGAGACAGATTGCACAGGATTCACCTGAGTGTCAGGTACTTCCAATGTACCTTTTTTTGTTCTGCCTTCATCAGCCTCACTGCCATTTGCAAGCAACATTCTGCCCACGTTTCGATGGAAGCTGCTGTTCCGTGACAGGCTCCCAGGCTCAGGCTGGCTCTGCCTCTTCAGGCACTCAGACTCCAGCCTGGCTACCATGTCAAGCACACGGACTGGTTCACATTGTGGTTCTCCAACCTCAGGATTTCCCCTTTCTAGGGGTTCTTCACAAGCTCCTGGGTCAGAGAAGGGCTCAGGGGTTGGGGGTATGCCTCTGGCTTGACCAGAAAACCTCCCAATGGCTGGTGAGTTTGGGCAGTTTTTCGCACAGCTCGCTAGCAGAGCACTGGCTCTTTGCTCAAGGAAGGCAACCATTTGTATAACTGACAGAGGCCTCCCGGCGTAGACTCCATCTCCACTGTCATTCACGTAATGTACGGAACAGTGCTCGATGCCACAGGCAAATGGCTCAGGCTGGTAGCACCTGCTGCTGACTTCCCTCATCTTTTCTAAATGTATCTTGGCTTTTTTAAGATCCCCTGATTTTTTTCTTCTTTTAATAGCTCTCCCTTCGATATCCCAGGTGCTTTTTATTTTCATAGCTCCTATTTTATTGCTGCACTGGTGGGCTGCGAAGAATGCAATTTTCTCCTTGGTATTTCCTGGTTTCACAACAGCCCAGATATCAAGCGGCCCTTCTCCTTCGCCCTGGTGGATCGTGGCAGCAGGGACATTCTTTTTGGCTTTAACATTAAAGCTGCTCTCTACAGGATTCTTCCCGCTCATACTGCACAGAACATTTGGAGACAGGACCCCAAAAGGTTTTCGAGATGATGCTTTGATGAGAGAGGGTGAAGCAGAGAGACCTGGTTTCATGTAGCTGGCTTTTCCCTTTTCATCATTCACAGCCCTCTGGAGGCTCATAGCAGTTCTCAGAGTGTCCTTGTGATTTCCAGAGGGTGCTTTTTCTTCTGAAGTATCCGATATGGCTTTAGGTGCCGAACAGATTCCCTGTAGGAGAGAAACAACATAATCGATAGGATTTCCTTTAGAAAAATATTTTCCTTTAAGCTTAGATGGTTTTAGCAAGTACAAGAAAGACTTTCTGCCAGTTTACTAAATCCCAATACTCTCATTTCAGGTAATTATTAATACACAGGTTAAGTACCAAAAAAGCAAAACAACCATTCTGAATGGTACATTGGCCAGAAAATAAATTTGTTTTGACTTTTGAGTTTCAGAAACCAATATCAGTTTATAGTTGATACACAAATTAATCCTTTGGAGGAAACTGAACCTTGTGCAAATGCTTAAGTATGAAGCATGGCACAGAAGAAAGGAATATGTAAGGCACTCCTCCACAATGGCTAGCAGATTTTTAAACAGTCTATCTTTCTAAGTCATCACAAGTAGCATAGCAAAATTGTTACATAGTAATGCTTCCTAGAAACTTCCAATACCGTTGACTAGCTACCTACAACTTTTCACTTGTTTGCTTATATACTTTATTTAGAAGGTCAAGACCAAAAGACAATCTATTTATATAAACACAACTGTCAAATTTCCTGCAAATATCAGAAATCAAATATAGAATCTATACTCCTTATTGATTCTAAAACACACCTTGAACTAGTTCATAAAAAGTGCCTTGTTTTCTGGACAGGGTAGAGATGGATGCCATTTTGAAAAAGAAATAGAAATATGATTATACAAGAGACACCTGTGTTCTAGTCCATGTTGTATCACTGATTAACTAGCTAGGGAGAATTTACCTTGGGCAGGAGATCATTTCCTCCCTGAGTCTGAGTTGAAACATTAACTGAGAGGTTGAAATACAGGTGCTGAACATGTCAAGGTTACTGTTACACAGACACTTGGGATTGAAGAAAGTGTTACTAGGGATACCTGGTCTTTTGCCAAATAAACCCACTGGCAAAATAAAGATCTGCAGTGAGGTTGGTGGGAGTGCAGCAGGCTTAAGCATAGGAAGTCTTTCCACACTGGTTTACTGGGACAACGGTCTGTGACATACATACCGGGTGACTCTTGTGTGCTCCCTCCCACTTGCTCTGCACCATGTACTGAGTGCCTACAATGTGGCAGCCTTTATGGAACTGCCTTCAGAGACCGCTGCTGCTTTTGTCAGGTATGAAAGTGACTGGCTCAAATTTACCATACAGTTAAAAAAAATTTCTTTTGGTACCAGGGATCAAACTCAGGACCCTGAGCTTGCGAGGAAGGCTGCAGAACCAATGAGCTAAATCCGTGGCCCTCAATTTAACTTTTAATTCTAGAGTGCAGTCTTAGTTAAAAGTAGAGATACGAATAAGGCTATATACTAGCCAGATAAGGGAAACCTTCATTTAAGGTACACATTCACTAAGTAGGTCAGTGGCCTCAGACTTGCAATCCTCCTTTCCTCAGCCTCCCAAGTACTGGGAGCACAGGCATGTGCTACCGTACCCACACTTTGTTTCTTTTGAAAGATAACCCTAGGCCACTATGTTCTTCTTTTCTTGGTGGCCTGCCCTCACACTGTAGGGTGTACTTCTTTTTCTACTTTTACTTGGCCCAAACTTGCTCTACAGAGCCTGTTTTTCTTACCTTTAATGAAATTTGATACTGTTAAAAAAAGATAACCCTCAAACCAGGGGTGACTGCATAGGCCTGTAATCCCAGTACTTGGGAGGTAAAGCAAGAGGACCATGTTTTCAAGGTGAGCCTGTAGGCTACATAATGAGAGCTTGTCTCAAAAATTAAAAGATATCCCTGAAATAGATTTATCTGGGTCCTTCTGGTGTTTGGCAATGTACATCCTAACCATCTGTAGAGAACTTTCCTCTTTTGCACTGCAGCATTTTTAATAGCTTCCATCATATTCTATAATTTAGTCTCCCCCAAAGAACCATCCAGAATTCTGAGCAAGATGACACACAAATGAATAAAAGAGGTACACTGGGTGCTGTCTCTCTGTGCCAACTATTTTCTGGTTTCTCATATCCTTTATAAGTAAAATGAAAGAAATGGAGGTTGTTGAAAAAAATAATAATTCTCACATAATATCACAGTGTCTGTGAATTAATTAAAATTCCAGCAATGTGTGTGATGTTTTGCACTGAACAATGTGTTTTCTTTGCTTCCTCCTCAACACATTATTTTAGGTGCTATTATTGACAGACAGGAACATTAAGAAAGTAACGTAATTAGGGAAAGCTTTTGTTTGCATTTAACCTGTAGTCACTTCAGCTGACACTTGTGTACACGATGACAACAGAGGGAATTCCAAGGGAGGAAAAGGTACAGGGAAGGGGAAAAGTCCGTAAGGATTTGTAATTCAAGAGACTGCTGGAAAATGGGGGTGATGTGAGCCTCTGAAGGAGGCAGTGTTTAGCTTACAACCCTGGCTGGCTGAAGACTCCCTGTGCTTAACCTCTCCACCTGGCTTGCTGAGCTTGAAGGTCTGAGGCAGAAAACAGGTGCTGGCAAGGCTTTGAGTAACTGAGTTTTAGCTGACATCCGTGGTAGATTTTAACAGAATATCATGCTGGGGCATCTACTGCAAAAATCCATAAAATAAGAATTTTATTTTATTTTTGTTTTGTTTTTTGGTACCAGAGATTGAACTTAGGACTTTGTGTTTGTGAGGCAGGTGGCAAAACCACTGAGCTAAATCCCTGGCCCCAAAATAAAAATTTTAACTCTCCAACAGATTAGACCAGATGGTGAGATTCCTCCCACACCCAAAGTAGGCACAGCAGAAAAGTTCCAGCTAGTTTCCATGGTTGCCAATCTCTTCATCAAACTGCATTTTTAAAGCCTGCTATAATAAAATCCCACTTTTGCAATTAAATAATATATAGGTTTTTATAGAATGTACACATTAGTGTTCCTTAGACTCAGAAAGGCTCTGGACCCATAACATAATCAGAATTTTGGGGGGTGGGACCAGAATCTGTTCTAATCTTAGAATGAAGCTGGAAGGGACTCTGGTGGTGATGTGTTAGATCTTGGCTAAGAATGTCAGTGTGACTCTAGATTTGGGTTGGGGTGCTGAGCTACGAATAGGGGTGACATGGAACTGGCCAACAAGAAGCCAAGCAGAGTCTATGCTAAAGCAGCTATTCCTAGAGTTGGTAAAGAGGCACTTTATTATTTATTATTCTCTTTGAAGCACAGTTAAGTGAATGGCCTTTTATTGCCAAGGGCCCCTTCACTTCTAACTTCCCAGGTTCTGCAGCACAGCCTTCCCAAATCTTTCTTCTTCTGAGTTCTCAAACAGTGGTCTCTTCAGGGTTCTTTTTCTAGACCATGGCTCCTTTAAGCTGTGTCAGAGTGATCTCTTCAATTTCAAAGCCATCTTACATCTCCAGAGGCACACTCTCCCTAGCATCATATCCCACTGTCTGGTACATCTGCCCACCTGCAGGTCAACAAGAATCTCAATCCTCCAGCTCTACTGAATGACAGCCTCAGGTACTATCTAGCACAGTGATGGTGAACCCTTCAGAGACCAACTGCCAAACTGCAACCCAGAACCCACTTAATGCAAAGTGCTGGCACTGCAATTAAACAGGAATACTGAGGTTTTAGTTTAGAAATGACTGCATTAACATCTTTTGTCTTAGAAAACACAGTAACACATGTGCCAAAGGTTCACCACCACTGACCTAGAGCAACAGCTCAAGTCACTTAAGATTCCCCCACCTTGCCCCCTACATCCAAGCACTAAGTCACTTAAATGGGCCCTCTGTGCTCTGTGCACAAGTGCAAAACTTGAAGCAGCAATCTTATCTCTGCTATGCTGCTGTCAGCTGTAGTAAAGCCTACTTTCTATCAATGCAAGGTTAAGTGCTGGAGCCCATCTTAGCCAACCTATCAGCTTTGCTCCTTGCTTGCCCTATCATACTTCTCACTCTGAAGTTGTTCTCAGGACTACTACCCATAGGAGCCGGTAGGTGAAGAACAATCCTATTACTAAGACACAATTTTAAAGCAACCAAGAGCATAAACCAACAGTCTCAGAATTTTTTCACATTAACTTCCACCCTACACACGTTCATTTCCTTCAGTCCACTTAACAAAAATTTACTAACCACTCTTGGCTGGATACTTCTACCGTTATATGTAAGACATAGCTGTGGCTTTAAGGAGATAGAAGAGTCGAACAATTACAACAGAATGTGGTATGTGTTACAAGGGCCATCTACATGCTATAAGAATTCATGGAGGGAGAGGGAGAAGGCAGTAGAAGATCAGTGTGTGTGAAGGAGATGAGGGGCCGATAGCACCAAAGCTCAGTTCAGTTGTCAGGCCTGAGATGTCCTCAGTTTCTAAGCTAAGCCTTAAAAGGAGACAAAAAAGCTTCTGTGAGATTCAAAAGTAGGTGATTCTTTGGGAAAGTCAGGTGAGAAAGTTTGAGTTAAGGTACTAAAGCAGAGATGAAAGGTAAACAAGCAAGGATTCATCCTTCATTAAAAATGGAGGATAAAGGATAGGCATCAAGGATGGATCTGCAGCTTATGGGTTTAGCAACTGAAGTCTAACTGCTTCAAGTGGATGGTGACAAGGTGGCTCAGCAGATTCAGAGCAGAGGCGGCAGGAGAGGTAAGTTCAGTGTCTCTGAAATGTTGGACTTGATTGTCAAGTAGAGAGATACCCAGTAGGCAGACTGGTGAGGAGAAACTGAAAAAAACAAACAACAACAACAACAACAAAGGAAAACATGGGTAGAACTATTTCAGCAAGGAAAAAGGCATCTGGATGGAGAATACAAGTCTTTTCTTGAGATTTTCCATGGTGAACATGAATTACTGTTACAATGAGAAAAATGTACACAGAGGGAAGAGCAGTCATGTGCAGACCATGCAGGTTGGTGGTGCAGGCTCTGATAATGCTGTGAGGAATGGGAAGGGGCATCAGGGTCTGCCTGCAGCAGCTCGCTCACTGAGAGAGGTGGCCATCACCTCACCAGCACTTGGGAGGCTGAGGCAGGAGAAATGCTTAGCAGTTTG